TTTGTTTGTTGAAGTTGATTTAGTGTGAACGTAGCCTATGATAAAAAGTTGTTTTTTTTACTTCACTCTGCACCCTTTTACTTCAGGGTATGATTTGCTTTGGTTTTTTTAATGCTGTATATAGATGGTTTTGTTTTTATGAATGAAAGAAACAAATAACTAGACATCTCTTAAAATATTTTGACAATTCAAAATACCTATTTAAGATATCTCTAATTATATTCTGACTAGTATAAATAACATTAGATTTATCATCATGTTGTATGGAGACTCCAGTTCAAGATATCTTAAATGTATCTTTGGATATGTGATTCACTATATAAGATTTAACTAATGCAAATTTCAGACTTTCATGTTCTGTAAATTATATTTAAAACAAAGCTGCTGCTGTTGAKCATTCTGTTTTCATAAACCCCACCCCCAAGGCCGATACTCTAGGGAAACACTTTTTGAAGATGTTCTTGATAARACAATTGACTGTTAGTAACTCGGTCTAAAATGTTTGCATCTGTTTAATCAGGTGTCACATTGTGTACCTCTGTATAACCATGTTAATATTTTTGTAGTACAAAGTACAGTACACGTTTTTCTTATTTTATCAAAATTTGAACATTTTTGTTTCGGGCAGGTAACATTTGTGTCGGGCAGGTAAAAATTCAAAATCTTGTCGAACCCTTAATAAGCAGTTAAATATTTCCAACTACATTAATGGATTTTTAAAGGATCAGAAATTTGTCTTCATTTCCTTTTCAGTCTCAGTGTCTGACTCAGCTGCACAGAGTGCATCTGATACTTCTAAATCTACTTTCTGATGTGAGTTTTGTAACGCGATTCTCTTCAAAACAGCAGAACGGTGACGCTTCACACAGTTTTTTTCTAGATCTGATAACTACAGAGCACTCCTGTACAGTGCATCAGTGTTTATTAGACAGACTGGTAAATTATTCCAGCTCCTCACATTAACTCAACCTGAATTTTAAAATTAGAGCTCTTCTCTCAGACACGCAGGAAAGACGTAACAGAATCTCATTAATTCTGTTTTCATTAGTCAGACAGGTTGTTAGACTTTAAACACTACAGTAGCACAATAGTTTATTAGAATCTTGTGCCGGCTGCAAGCCCACAACTAAGTTCTACCACTGCACTGAAGTAGGCCTGTCATGATAACAAATTTTGCTGGGCGATTAATTGTCCCACAAATTATTGCGATAAGCGATAATACTGCCTGGTGACCATTTAACAACTAATAATTATAAAAGCGTAATATGTAAGTGTAATAAATCAATAAGCTTTAATTTTTAAAGAATGTTTAACAAAGTGGACTCTCAGTCTCTAACAAAAAATGCACTTGAATAAAAAAAAAAAATAAAACAAAGAACAACAAAATGTAAATTAAACACCACACACAACTAAGACAGTAAATAAACAATATTAAAGAGCAGCATCTCTTTAGAGATGAAACAAACTACACAGCCTGGTGAGGACCCACTGTTTCTTATGGGGACATAAGCCCAGTTCACATCCCATGTAAAGTTTAGGCTAGGTTTAGGGTCAAAAGGTAATAGAAAATACTGGTAAATGAATGAAAGTCAATGCAAAGTCCCCATGAGGATAGAAGAACAAACGTGTCTATGTGTGTGTGTAAGGAGGGGACAGTCAGTGAGGAGACGAGCAGAGCGCTGCGGGGAGGAAATCAGACCGTTCAGAGGTTTCCTCATGAGTTGTTGGGACAGCTACAGGTTTTTGGGGGGTTTTGTTAAAACACAGATGGTGCGTTTAAGTTTCCTGTTATTTTTGGGAGCTACAGGTAAAGTCTTGACGAGTTTGTGGCGGGTCTGGGGGAGTTTCAGCCCCCACCCCTTCTCCTCCTCTCTCTGTGTCTCCCCGCAGCGAATTTCAGGCTCTGCAATTGCTCCGACACTGCAGCAGCCGCATTCTGCTTTGAAACGTTTCTTTAGTTTGTTATTGCTACGAGCTCTCATGCTAAAGCGAGAGTTGACTCCTCCCACACTAAGAAAACAGGAGGGGAGGGGTCAGCTGAGCTCCTGTGTAGCGGAGCACAGAGAGGGAGAGAGACGAAGTAAACCAACAAGCAGGAAAATGAAACTTATCGTCCTCATTTTTTTTCCTGACCTCAAAATAACATATCGTGCAATTAATTGATTTATTGACTATCGCAACAGGCCTACACTGAAGCATTAACATGTATCAAGATAAGACTCGGGAAACTTCCACAGCTTTAGAAAATGTGTGATAAATTAGTAACAAACTACAGAAGAGTTTTAACGAAGCTTGATGGGATAACTTACAGTAGGATAGGCTGATCAGAAGTGATGACATTTCCCTGAATATGAAGGTTACACTTCATGGGTTGACCTGCAAGTAGACAAAAAACAGATAGTTGTTCTGAAAACAGCAACAGAAATCAGAAGAAACTTTAGAAACAGAGGCCAAACACCTGAAGAGTCGTGTGTAATTTTACCARCAGCACTCACCATCTAAGCAGCGATTATTGTACTTCTTGTAAGCAACGACAGCGTCGTCTTTCCGGACAAACACCACCTCAGCTACGCCCACCTTCACCAGCCTGGCTCGCTTCAAAGCTCCGCACACACAGAACAGTTCCTGCAGACAAACAGTCAGAACCACCACACCCTGACTGAGTCCACACTCAAAATATCAGTGAATAAATATACAACCCTGGTGAAGGTAAACAGTGTGTTTTTCTCACCACTATGTCCTCTTCAGTGACCCGGGGATGAAGGTTGTTGACTGTTATTTTGGTTCCCTCTAATGGACTAAAAACAGGCTAGAAAAAAAWAACACCATAAATAAACTGGTTAATATTACTGAGTGTACAAAAATGTACAGCTACAGTTAATCTGCCCTGCAGTCACTCTGAAATAATCAGCATGATCACCATCAAGCAGCAAATTTACTATGAAACAGATTACAGATCAGGAACAAGCTTCCTGCATGTTCCTGATCTGTAATCTGTTGAGACCTTAACTTTGACATTTTTTTAAGATGAGGGTAAATTATTCAACTCAATGCTAAAAAACAGACCATTTAGTTTGGGGCTGAAGTGATTCCTTGAATAATTAGAGTAATTTGATTAAAAATCATTGAGGTCAATTATCTGCTTTGAAGTTTCATATAGATAATTGTAAACTATTCACAGCACATTTGTCCGGCCGGAATATTATTTGTGTTGCACTTCTGTTAACAGCTATGCGTGCTTACCAAGTGCTATATTTAGTATTGGAAGGAGACGAGGAGTCCAAAACCCAAGCGCCCGGAAAACGACAGAAATTGTCAAAAGTGTGGAAACGTTTTGAACTAAACAGAAAAGTCAACCCAGCGCAGAGCATGTGCTGCATGTTCTCAATGTTTCAGCACCGGAGCAGAAAACAGCTGCTGAGTTCATCCTACTCACTCGGAGTTGAGAGGTATCATTTACGTTCCCTACGCAAAATACATTTACCTAAATCTGTGATAATCTGTCATGTTTCAGATGTACTCTGCTGTACATGTACATGTACGCTGCTCAGATCACATTTGCTCTGACCGCAGTATAAAAGTCATGATGCAGGTTTTCTTCGGTGTACATTTCAAACTGTGCTCTAAAGCTAACGTCAGCTGTTTTGAAATGCATTTTTTGCCCAGTGTTGTAAAACAACAGGTGCAGACGGAGGCAGACTGTGAGCGCTGTGTGTGTGTGTGAAGTCCTCACAAAGATAGCGAGATGTATGTGTGTGTCTCTCCTTTTTTCTCTGTGTTCCTCTGACAGTTTTCTTTGGGCTTGTTGCTGTTTTGCATAAAAAACGTTGGGATATCCAAACATGGTCATTTTATTTTATGTTTAAAAAAAAGATACTAATCTAGATAATATACAAATAAAAACAATATGTAGCACTGGATAAAATAAATCCTGTGTGGCAGCATACAACAGACAAGGCTGTGGCTGAGGGTTTAGGGGAGTCGTCCTGGAACTGGAAGGTCGCCGATTCGATCCCCCGTCCAGCTGTCTCAGTTGTTGTGTCCTTAGGAAAGACACTTCACCCTTAATGCCTCTGATGTGTGTCCCAGCAGTGTATGAATGTGATTGGCACTGATTAGTCTCCATAGCTGATAGTACGTTAGCTTTGTAGAGACATAATAAGAGTGCTGTGTGAATGGGTAAATGAGGACACAGATTGTAGTGTAAAACGCTTTGAGTGTCCTTGATGGATAGAAAAGTGCTATACAGTCCATTTACCATTTTCATTTTTTTTTTTAAATAGAGACTTGTGTAACATTTGTTACCATTCTTATTTTTATCATGTTAATGGAGGATGAAAAAGCAGTACTGGCTTCAAGAATCGGCCCCCAAAAAATTGGCTGCATGCATTGGCTGATGTTAAAATAATCAGTATTGGCCTTCAAAACCCTGTATCGGTCGATTTCTAATAAAAACAATGCAAGCGTGTCAAATAAAGATAAAAGCACAGCAACAGATTTCCATCATGAGTTGAATCATTTTTTGTTGCTAAGCTTTTGTCTGGACTTAAATGAGATACTTGGAGTGAATATTTCAAGTTCAGAAGTATTTATAGAAGCTAGGATTTTTTTATGTTGCACAACTGGTATAATATTTTACTTTGATTGCAGCAGGGTCATCAGTTAAGTGTAGATTACCCCTTCACAATATTTAATATTTGTGTAACTGACAGTAAAGTATATGATAAGATATTTTATATTGTGTGGATTGTTTATAGGAGTTTGTCTATCTTGATCTACACTGTACATGTTGTTTCTGAATGTTTTTGTTTTGATTTAATAACATCTGTACTTTCAGTGAGTTTTGTTTTGTTTGTTTGTACCTCATGGGATGCCATAGACAAGAAGGGTTGACCTTATAAAAGCTGGCAGTCATTAGTTCTAACAATGAATGACTGGAAAGCAACTACTGTCAGCAGGATTTCAAATGTTTGCTGCGTTAAAAAAAAGATTTTTATAATGGTGCACCTCTGTTGTCTTCCTGTCAGCTCCATTTAATCCACAGTTTCAAACTTTAATGATGGAGTTATATAGATGTTGTGATGTTTTAGTGGAAAATTTGCAGATAAATCAAAATAGTTGTCTGCTGCTGCCCCACGTCAAGATACACACACACACACACACACACACACACACACACACACACCAGGGGCTTACCTGAGGTGGAGCAGGAGCTGCTGCGGCTGCGCTAGTTTCTGCTGTGCTTTGCTGAAGAGTCCTGGAGACCGGCTGTAGTGCTGCAGCACCAGTAGAGCGGGGCACAGCTGTGTTGGCGTTGGGTCGGGTGGGAGCCACAGGGACGGGRGGGCGTGGCGCTGTGTACGCATCATTTTTAACCACCTTGGTGATCGGGGCTGTCATGGAGAATGTAGGACCCACTGCGCCAGACTGTATGAAATAAATGTAAACATTTACTGTGAACCCCACATACAAACTATGCAAAGACCAGTCAAACATCTTTCTTACCCGGGACTGAAGCATTGTGTTGGCAGTAGTGATCTTTATTTGTTTGCTGGGGATGTCGCTATGTTCATTTATGGCAGGCTGTGCAAAACACAATTATCAAGTAAAATAGAACATTTATTCTTCTAATATTTAACAGAATTACAACCTTTTCTTGTAAAATCCAGAAAAGAAAACATATGTACCTGCGTGGCTGCACGTATTCCACCTAATGCACTCACTGGATGTTGCTGTAAACAGACGGGAAACAGCACGTATTACAAGGCTTGCTGTGTAATTTTACATTTTACTGAATTACTGTAGACTGCACACTCCCCACACACCTGTATGGTTTTTGTTATTTTTAAAGGTGGAGCAACAGACGCTTGTGTTTGCGTTCCGACAATACTCCTCTTGAGGCTCAGCCTATCCCGAGCATCCATCACTCTCTTATTAGTGCTCAGCTGTGGTGTTGTGGCAGCCCTTGCACTCAGTCCTTGTACACTGGGTGTAAACTGCCAAGTGTTCGGATTGACCAGGTTGTTGCTGTTGTGTATCTGTATCTGTGGCACAAGTGTGCTGCTTTGCAGCTGTTGCGTTATCGCTGCCTTTAGTGTGGTCTGTGCAGGAACAGCAAACTGCCCCTGCCCTTGTTTCCTCGAGTTGATGGTCTGTCGAGCGTCTTGTATCGTGCCTGCTCCTCCCCCTCTGCCACGGATTTTGAACCGAGCGTCTCTCTGAACCAGCTTTTCTCTGGCATCTTTCACTTGAAAACCTGAGGAGACATGGGAATGAGTTAACGTGCACAGTGYTCACCAGGCTCTGATACTTTCCGACTTAGAGCTAAGAACTTACCTGTTGCTCCCCCAAGGCGTTGTCTTACATCGCTAACACCAATTTTCTGCCTGGCATCAAAGTTTTTGCCATCCATTCCTCCACCTCGTCCAAATGCAGGACTGAGGGCAAGAAGAAATTTCTAAACCTTCAATAACTGAATAAGATACTTGAGACATGTGACAATTCATTGGAACTCTGTTTAACATTTCCTAATTAGTAGGGATGCTGACATTTCGCCAGCAGCTGCTGCCATTTTCTTCCAAAAACTGCTGTGACCAAATTTTGCGAGGCTGCTCAGTGTGTTTGCTTGTAATTTCCTCCTGCTTCGTTATTACTACAAATTTCAACAAAGCGTGCCCACGTCAGGTAGTTAGCTACAGCCTCATCTTCGAGTTTTTAATTTTCGTCGATGCGTTTTGAAGAGACAATTTTTTGAAAAGAGGATCAAAGTAAATCACCCGAGTTTTTCTAGTGACCCCTTAAAGAGATAAGCTGCCATGAA